TGACATCTCAACCACACACCCAGCAGAAATTTAACCTCTGCACCTTAGAGTTAGAAGGAATCAGAAATCTTACTGGCCCACCCCTTTAGGCAAGTTACTATATCCCAGCTGGGAGCTGAGAGGGAAGGAGTCCCATCCTCTGGGGCACACCAAATTAGAGCACAGTTTCTTTCTACCTGAGCTGGGGAGGAAAGGGAGGGAGGGAACATGTCACAGCTCCAGGGCCCTAGATTCTCTCTGCTGTTACATGTTTTCTTTTTTTAAAAATATATTTTATTGATTTTTTACAGAGAGGAAGCGAGAGAGATAGAGAGCTAGAAACATCGATGAGAGAGAAACATCAACCAGCTGCCTCTTGCACACCCCCTACCAGGGATGTGCCCACAACCAATGTACATACCCTTGACCAGAATCGAACCTGGGACCTTTCAGTCCGTAGACCGACGCTCTACCACTGAGCCAAACCGGTTTCGGCTGTTGTTACATTTTCATAAATTTTCTTTAATAAATATTTCTTCATCTTCTTGTAAGTTTTGAAACATTTTCCAGAGATTATAAATGATTGTGATATATATATATATATATATATATATATATATATATATATATATATACAGTCAGACATCCCCTGAGGGGTCCTTAGCATTGTCGCAGAGGTGGGAGAGGCTCCTGCCACCTCTAATGCACTCGCCAGCCATGAGCCTGGCTTCTGGCTGAGTGGTGCTCCCCCTGTGGGAGAGCACTGATCACCAGGAGGCAGCTCCTGCATTGAACATCTGCCCTATGGTGGTCAGTGCATAGCAACTGGCAGTTCCACCATTTGGTCAATTAGCATATTAGCCTTTTATTATATAGGATATTTGTTTGGCTTGGGATAGGGTCCATGGAGCATCTTTACATTGTCATTCTGGAAGTGGAACCCTAAGGATTATTTTTTAAAAGACTGTGTCAAAGAAAATTCCCAGCTTCATCACACACCCTGAGCTTCAATTCCCTTATCTATAAATGGGGATCATAATCCACACCACACTGCTCAGGACAGAGTAGCACAAAATAACTTATTTTTTTTTTTATCCTTTAACTGCTCTTATATCACTTTTGGGACTTGGAGAAGTTCTAGTTGAATAAAGGTGTCTGCCCAATAATGCGTTGATATGCTTTAATAATTTTAAGATTCCAAGAAAGTGTTTCAAGTAAAGTGAGAAATATACTTAAGCCACTATTGCAAAAATGATCTTTAGACCCAGACCAGGGTTCTTTAAAGGTTTGGCTCAAGGTCCTTTCTTCTCATTTCCCTCCCTCTTTCCCTCATTCTCTCCTAACTCATTTTCCTCCTGTATTATAATCTTTCACCAACATATGAGAATCACTGAGTAGAAAATGAATGACTGATCAGTTAAAAGAATAAAATTCAATCAGTGTGTATAATGATTTTCAAAGACTGGGCAGTATTCTCTCTGAGCTATGTGTTTATACAACAGTCTGGCCCATGAAAAAAACACCCAACCTCTTTAAATAGATGATGATGATAGATGATAGATAGATAGATAGATAGATAGATAGATAGATAGATAGATAGATAGATTGTATTTTCTTTTCATGAAAATACCAGGAAAGTCATTTCCACTGTCACTCATTCATTCATTTAACAAAGAGGATTTAATGCCTATAATATATGTGACATTCATTCCTGTATTTTAGCCCTGGCACTCATCTTAAGAGATGAGAGCCCTAGCTGGTTTGGCTCAGTGGATAGAGCATTGGCCTGCAGACTGAAGGGTCCCAGGTTTGATTCTGGTCAGGGGCACATGCCTGTGTTGAGGGCTCAATCCCCAGTGAGCAGCAGATCAGAAGCAGCTGATCAATGATTCTCTCTCACCATTGATGTTTCTGCCTCTCTCTCCCTTCCCCTTCCTCTCTGAAATATATATATAATTGTTTGCTTTATTAAACAATTATATATATATATATATATATATATATATATATATATATATATATATTTTTTTTTTTTTTTTTTTAAGAAAGAGAGATAAGATAGAATTTGAGGACCTGGTCAGTCAGCATATGTCTTACCAAGCCAAAATAATATTTTAGTGTGTTCTCACTCTTTGTGTAGTTTATTGACCTACTAATAATTTAAATAATCAGGAGGAACAATGTGGATATGGCCCTAGGAAAGATGGCAATTAATATTCAATTTTACTATACCTCATACCAGCTTCAGAGCTATCCAAGGACAAAGAGTGTTTTGTTTTTAAGTTCTCATACAATTACTGTTGAGCAACCAGAATCTCTTATAATTGATTTCTAGACTGCTACAAACTTTTTTGTCTATAACCAATCAGAGATAAATTCTAATAGAGTAAAAGGGAGGATGAGGATGATAAAAATTCACCTGAAAATTCTATTTAGAAACACAACTATTTTCTTTTATAAAGAATTCAGATACTTGGAAAATATTTCAAAATGAAAATACAATTTTAAATCAAAACTAGAGGGATTTTATGTGATATGAGAGTTACATTATTTGGTTTAGCAGATGCATACTGATTCCTTATCCTGTGCAATATTAGGAAGAACATTCCTACATTCAAGAAACAAGTCTTGTACGCTAATAACTATAATGTTAGACAGAAAACATTTGTTATAATAGCCTTAAAAATGCTACTTAAGACGGATGAGGAAGAGATTCATTCTTCTTAGGGGGGATTAGAAAAGATTTCACAAGGGAAGTGCCATCTGATTCGAAGTCAATGGGGACAGAATAAAACCAACCGAAGTATGTTAGTCTGCCTTCAGAGACCAGCCAGTAATCTTTACCTGACTGGAACCCCAGGGAAAAGGAAATCAAGGTGGGTTATATATTTGTAATTAGTCATAAAGACGCCCCAAAATGTTATCAAAGAAGTTCAGAGTTTATGTTGAAGCCAATTGAAAACCAGGGAAGAGTTTTGGGAAAGGAAGTAATCATCAAACCAGTATCTTAGAGAACTTATTCTGACACCCACACCTAAGATAGATTTTTTAAATATTGGAGGTAGGAAGACCCATGTAGAAGCCACTCTTGCATGGGCCAGGTGGCCTGAACTAAGATCACAGAATTAAAGTCAATCAAAATTCCATACACGTGGGACAGGAAATAGAATCAATGGAGCAGAGGCCAGAGACACTGTAGTGAGGGATGGTGGGAACTTGGGGACTGGTGTCCGCAATGAAAGAAAAAGTGTGCTAGGTGCTTTGAGGTTTAAGGTCCGTGTGTCAGGGAGGTTGACAATGTTCTTAAAAAGAGAAAGGAAATAGAGAAAGATGAAGTTTGGGGAAAGAAAAAAAATTATATTCATTTATTCAGCAAATATTTATTGAGCACCTACTATGTGCTGGGCACTGTCCTGGGTGGAGAGAGGGGAGAGGAGGGTTATCTTTAATTTTTAAAACACACTGTTCCCAGTCTTTGGGGACTCCAAAGGCAGAGCTGGAGCCAGGGGGTAGTCAGGTAGGAAGTAAAATAGCTTTCTAATAAATGGAATCTTCTTGAGAAGTAGTGAGGCCTCCGTTACAGGCAGTATTCAAGCATAAATTAGATGATTGTCTTCCGGAAACATTGTGACAAGGGGTTTCTGTGGTAAGGGAGAGGTGAGACTAGCTTTCTGCAAGTTCTTTCTCAGTCTTAAGTAAGAGTCTGTTCTTTCTGGTGACCTAGTCCTCTGGGTTCTATTATTAATCTCTCATTTCGCTCAGTTATTAAATAAATGAATCTGTCTGCCATTCAGTGAAACTCACACATTTACATCTGTTATTCTTAAAGTATTTTTGGTGAGGGCTCCTCTTCTTTATTAAACAATTCTACCCAGTAATGTTACCTTTACATCACATTTAGGAAGGTAACCCTGGTAAGCTGGGTTATACATATCAGAAAGGAAAGGGATTTCTGATGCCTAATAACATTTTTGTTTAGAAGGGGCCATGCAAATGAGAAAGGAATTATCTTGATTTCAAGATTGTGATGCAGTTTCTGTATGTTCCAGTAATTCAAAATGAAAAAGGGATCTCAGAGAGGTTCCTTTATATATATATATATAGCCTGCAAAAGAAAGAGGATCATTATTCTCCAAACATTGTAAAGCTTTAAATCAGAAACATTTATCTGGGCTGCCGTTTTAAAAAAAGAAGAAGAAAGGGAAAGGGAAGAAAAGGAGAAAGGGAACCTGTAGTGAGCTCTGCTGAAAGCTATGGTTAAAGCTTTGCATTTCCTGGCGTCTTTTGAAACGTAAAATTCCACAACAAACAGCTCTGTAATGTATAACCCGGTATGAAGATTCAATTCAGATCGAAGCACTTTTGCTTTGCTTTTGAATCTTGCTATTTTCTGCATTTGTTTTGACTGCTCTCATCATTCAAGATTGACGCTTGGATGGGTGTGTAGGAGGAAGCAGCTTACAGCTTGCAGACAAAAAAAAAAAAATCTGCCTTATCTGATGGCTATTATTGAAAATGCGAGGTGTAGCCTGGGCTGGGTAATGAAGGGGAGCGAGCGAGGGGGAGCCGGGAGCATGGAGCTGCATACTGATGAGTGTAGGAGTACTTGATAAAGAGAATTCTGGCTGCTGGCCGTGCACACTGCTCATTGTGGAGTACTCCAACAATCACATAGCACGCAGACCCAGCCTCGGCCGCCGACAGCTTGCTATGCCTTCTCCTGCTGCCCGGTGCTGGGGGGCCGTGTGACGTCCTGGCCGGTAGTAAAGATGAATATGTGAGAAATGTGGAGCTAGGATCAAGTCAGACTCCACAGCCTGCCTGGCAAACTATGTGTGACTTCTGACTTTGCTCTCTCCTCTCGCGCCGGGAACGCTCATCTGTCAAGCTGGCGGGCTCCTTTGATAGCAACTTTCCCAGGAGCATGATGTGGCAATGCCACCTCTCAGCCCAGGACTACCGCTATTACCCCGTGGACGGCTACTCCCTGCTTAAACGCTTCCCTCTTCATCCTCTTTCAGGACCCAGATGCCCCGTGCAAACGGTGGGACAATGGTTGGAAAGCATTGGGCTACCTCAGTACGAGAACCACCTGATGGCTAACGGATTTGACAATGTGCAGTTCATGGTAAGACGCGCTCTCTGTGTCCACAGAGCTTGCCTTTTGTCTGTCTTTGCTTCTCATGTATCTGACACGGCTCGGAGGCAGCCCGATGCGCACCGAAACCAACCGGTCTGTTTTAGATCTGTAAAGGCATCGGGAAAGGGGATGCCCTCGGGGCTGAACTTAACTGTGTGCATAGAGACACTTGCTGAGAAATGAGATCTAGAGGCGTCCGTGTGCGTGTGTCTGATATGAATGAGCCGGTGAGAGGACTATTTATAGGCAGCGAGAAGAGACGAACATGTGTGTCCTCCCTTCCATTCTTTGTGTGATTTTTATAAATGTGCAGCCTCTGAATTCCCTGGGTCGATCAGTGCCCTCTTCAGTGGATCCTGGGTGCCTAAAAACATGGGATGTCGTGTGAGCATCAGCAGTGAGGGGTTCGGTAGACAACGTGTCATGTGGACAGCGTGAAGATCATTTGTTTCCTGATCATTGTTCGATAGGCAGTGTAAGTTGTGTTACTGAACGACCTTTTAGTTCCTTAGCAAACTGTTTCAAATGGTCCGTTATGGAGAGCATTCACTGACTTACACGTGCTGAGTGAGGAGCATGGAAGCATTGTGTGTTACTGTCGGGAAAAACAAACATTTCCATCAGCTAGCTGTTAATATTAAGAAGGAGAGACTAATGGACTGAGCACATGCATGTACTTCTGAATACTGGTCTGCATGCAGTCTCCACCCGGTGTGGCGTGTGCGAACTTCTCACGGCGGTGAATATATACTAGGTGAGGAAGGAGGACAGGGAGAGGTGCAGACAGGCGATCCAGCTTTCTAATCGTTTACACGCCTCCCTCGGTGCTCATCACTTTCCCTTGTTAAACTACGTCACCGTCCTTATTACCTTACCTTGCTTTTAAGGTCCCATCACACCCATTGCCTATCCCTAAATTCAGAGAAGAGAGCTTCATAACATAGGCAGGTACCTCGCAAATGTAGAACTAATGAATAGCTATTTCTAAATAAATTGCTGGAGCCGACACCTGAGGCTTGTTACCACCAGAATTGATAACAAAACACGGAGAGCCTGCTATGTCTTTTTATCTCCATTGGAGATTCTTTTTCTCCAAGCCTGATTTGACTGTTATTATAGATTTTAAAATCATTCAAATCGTGTCCAACTTCTGCCTCTTCTCCAAAAAAAAAAAAAGGTGTATGCCCCATGAGCTTTTACAAAAAGCTTACTAACAGCATCAAGACATACAAGCTCTAAGGAATTGTATACATTGAACTCTTTATGAACTTTTTTAAAATTTTTTTTGCAATGAGATGTGCAGCTACTGTATTTTTTTTCTCATGTTTAAGAATACCATCACTAATTAGACAGGAATGATACTGTGGGCATTGAAATATGAAAAAAAAAGAAAGAAAGAAAGAAAGAAAGAAAGAAAGAAAGAAAGAAAGAAAGAAAGAAAATTCTTCAATTGCTGTGAGTGTCTTAGGATACTGAGCAGATTCAGGATACTACACAGATGACACCAGAAATTAGAGGAACTATCAAACAGAATGAAAATCTTTGCATTGATACTTGTGTTTACTGCACATTTTGATAAGTATGTTTTCTCCCTATCTCTACTTGAGATAAGACTTTCTCATTCTTACTCCTCAAACTCTCATCTAAATTTATTCTGGTCCCATGAAAAGTGAGGTAGGTTTTTGGGTTTTCTGGAATATTTGGCTGCTTTGAAAGATTTTAATTCTGCATAATTTTCCCCTGAATTTTAAACACTTTTCAGCAAATATAATCCCTCTTTGAAAGCCTGGAACTGAAAGGTTAATCAAACAGGTTTCAAACAAGCATTTGGAGATCGTAAAAACATTCATGAATGAAATATGTATGAGCACTCCAAAATGCATCTGGAAGGCAAAAATCCTGCACCTACATAACAAAATCAAGGTCTGATCTCCTCCATAGATTATTGTCTTTATTTTTTCAATTCGAAGTATTCCCAGGATTGTGTATAATTTTCCAGAAATTAAGAAAACATAGTTAATTCAGATAAGTCAAATACTTTCTTCATGGGACAGGATCGATTTTAAAAGCTTTGAATTATCACTTAGAGGAATTAGTTATAAAAAGGAAGCAAATCATAAAATAGTTGTCATCAATTATTGCTTAGTATGCTGCTATCATTTATTTGCTACCATTTTCATAAAAAAATCAACTTCTGCCTTTATAAAAATTATTTCTTGATCTCCATAATCTAATTTATTTCATTATGAACTTAGTTAAAGTACACTGATATGCTCAGGCCATTTTAAGAAACAGATTTCATTAATGTGGGGGGGAAATCTGTTAGATCTACTCGGTATCATAGTCTAGCTTTTGTTTTTCTTGAAGCACATTCTGACCTGCATTTATTCATCCTGTTGCCTAAGCAACAAGCACCACACTTCTATTAACTATGATGTAGTGCAGGTCTTATTAGCTTTTTAGAGCCACACAGTGCTGACATCAAAAGGATATAATTAACATTCGTTAAAGCACCATAGTTATAGATCCATGCATAGAGGCATACTTTACTTAGAAAACATTTTCAAGAGTTAATTTTTTTTTATTTAATCAGTATTCCATTAATGAATGGGAGTTTTAAAGGATCCATGTAAGGAACTTTCAAAGTATTTCTTGAAAGCTTTAACAAAAATTTTTGCTCATTCTGTTCTACATACTCGCATACATAAACACATAGTTTCTCTACATTGCTATAATTAACTTGAATAAAGATTCCTTACATCCATTCCTAAACATGGTTGGAAAAGAAGGATCCCCATTTATTTATTTTTAAATATCTGTCAATTATGACTTCTCCTGTTGTCTCTTGTTCTTATCCTTGATTTTATTGATGTGTGAATCTGAAAGGCAAAATTCTAAAGTTTGTCTTTAAGTATCTGGTTCTGGTTTGCAGAACAGGTGTGCACACAGCCTTGACCCTTCTGTATCTTTAAATATATAAGATAAATGAAAATTTATATAATCAATAAATAGCTACAAAAGTGCAGCAGGTTGCGTAAGACTTTGGGAAAGTCAAATCTGCGTTACAATTATAAACCCTTTCCACATAGCATCCTTTGTCAAAAGACTTCTGCAGGCCCCCACTCTGCCGGTGCATCCCTTTCGAATGGTACATCAGCTCCCTCCCAGGTAGGCATGTGTGCCTGCTCGTGGGTAGCCTCTGGGAATGCAGCCTCCTGGTCCTCTGACGTCCCACCTATGTTGCCCAAGTTTGCAACATACAGAATGTATCTGAGTTTCAAAGTCACTTTTTTTTTTTCATCAAGGAGTTTAGGTATGAAATGTTTATCATACAAAATGCACAGACTTAGCTACTTCCTTGTTCTATATGTTTCTGTCATCATCTCTATTTTTTCAAGTCTGATGACTGCTTTCTTAATTTCAAGTTTCAAACTATCTATTCTTATCTTGATTTGTCCTCTTCAGCCTTCTTCCCCCCCTCCAGACTGCAATTTCCTTCCCTTCCCCTCTCTTACCCCAAAGGTCTAACTCAATCCCTGCCTTATTTATATAGTTTTCCTTAAAGGCTCCAGTCCTCAGCATCCTCCCCCTTCTCTGAAGTCATGTAGTGGTTGTATTTGGTATGAAAAATTACCTTTGGCATGCTGTTATTCACTCGAGGATTAGGAGTCAACTTTTCACATGTATATATCTTGTCTCAACTAGACCGGTCGCTTCAAGTCCACGTTCTATGTAATCAATTTTCTGTATTATTTTTTTTTTCTGAAAGATTTTTCAGTCTTATTTTTTCCCCTTTTAATTTTATTTTGCATTGGTTTCAGGCGAACAGCTTAGTGGTTAGACAATCATATACTTTACATAGTGTTCCTTCAATATTTCCAGTACCCCAACTGGCACCCTACAGAGTTATCACAATTTTATGAACTATATTCCCTATTCTTTACTTTACATCCTTGGGACTGTTCTGTAGCTACCAATTTGTACTTCTTAATCCCTTCACCTCTTTTCACCTCCGCCCCCCCTCCTCCCTGTGTTCAATTTCCTTGCTTCTCTTACAACTCCTAGCATGATGCTGTGTACACAGAAATCTCCCATGCACACTGGATGCATAGCAGATTGTAGTAGATGGACCTTCCAACTTCATTTTTAACCCGGAAGCCTTTCTTTGCCAGTGGGAACATGGAGTACTAGCATTCTTCATTTATTAATGCAGCAAATGCCGCTTAAATATTTTTTTTATGTACTAGGGACAGTGTTAAATACTAGTGGTGTAACAATGAACATATATGATCCTTAACCTCCAGCAGGCTACAGGATTGCCCTCAGATCTGTCATATTATTTGCACACACCTATTTGCTCATACACACACTACATCATGGGGATCTTACTCCCATCCTTTCAGATAATCACCATCTTTCAGCATATTACTTACTAGCAACCGCTTTTCCAGCAACAAATTACAGTAGGCAATGAAAAGATAAAATCTATGATAGTGTGGAGCAAAGGAAGATAAAGATACTGATAACATTAAAACCTGGCAGTGTTACTGTAGATTTATAGGCCAAAGACTGAATTAGGATGTTTATTATTACTTGGAGAATGATTGACTCATAGCCTCACCAGAGTATATTTGTATACTCTAATCAAAAGGGGGAAAGCCTTGGTCAGGTGGCTTAGCTGGTTGGAGTGCCATCCTGTACATCAAAAGGCTGCAGGTTCAATTCCCTGTCAGGGCACATATTTAGGTTGTGGGTTTGGTCCCCAGTTGGGGCATGCATGGGTGTTTCTCCTCTCTCAAATTCATTCTCTCTCTTTCTCTCTCTCTCTCTCTCTCTCTCTCTCTCTCTCTCTCTCTCTCTCTCTCCCTCCCTTCCTCCCTCCCTCCCTCCTTCCCTCCCTCCCTCCTTCCCTTCCTTCCTCCCTCCTTCCTTCCCTCTTTTTCTCTCTCCTTAAAACCAGTAAACATATCCTTGGGTGAGGATAAAAA